AGTGTTCTGAGTATTTAGTTGATCCATTCCAGTTTGCTTTATTTCATCCAATTAGAAGAACTTTATTATCTCAAAGCAAAAGGGTAAATTAAGGGACAGCTCATTGTGCAAGAGGAGCAACTTACAAAAATGTGTGTGTGTTGGGGGCGGGCAGGGGGTGAGCTGTGACCTTCTTTCCTTAAATGTAGTGTCCTGGCTGTTTTTTCCCAGAACGTGGAATACAACATATTCGAAGGCCTCGAATGCCACGGGGCTCCCAGCGTGGTCATAAGCCAGGGAAAGGTGGTGCTGGAAGACGGGAGCCTGTTCGTCACCCAGGGGTCCGGCCGCTTCATTCCTAGAAAGACATTCCCGGATTTTGTTTATAAAAGAATAAAGGCAAGAAACAGGGTAAGGAGCATTTTATTTGCAGCAGTCTTATATTTTTGGCCAGCTGTCTGCATTATTGCATTGCAGCCGCTGTTGGGTTAGGCCCGCAGGGCGCTGTGACAGACCGGGCAAGCAGAGCCCTCGCCAGAAACAAGCATATTATCCCTCTTATTTCCTTTTAGGCCCTGGAAATCTGGAATGTTGTCATTTAACTGCTTTGGTGTGAGGCTCGGCACTTTAGTCAATAATACCCATCCCTTTTGAATAGGTGGTTGGTTTACTCGACAGCAGATACTCATTTAATTCATTCTGAAATGAAAGAAAGATGCATTGTGTTTGCACGCACACGCACCCCCCGCCCACACGCACACGTGCACACCTCTCGCCCCCCCCCCGCCGTCCGTCCAATAATTTGTGCTGGTGGGTAAGATCTGCCAGATCTCCCCGGCGAAACGGCGGGGAGACTCAGCAGCAAACTGCGGGAGAGAAGATCGCGCAAGTGTGAAGAAGGGAAATAAACGTTGTTATCTAATGCCATGTCTTCTAAATTTAATTTGAAAAGTAAGAAAGATCTTAACATGCTATAAACCATAAATGTAACCCGTTCCACGTGAAATACTCGCTCTGTTATCATGGGCCAGGAGGAGCCGTTCTAAAATTCAGTTAGCAAGTTTGCAGCTGCGTTACGTCGCCGGGGTCGCCTCCCAGCGTTCAGGGCAAAACCTGCCCTTCTTCTCAGCCGTTTCTGCCCGATTCCTTTGTCTCAACAGGGGAAACAAAGGCAGCGACACCGAGGGTCCGCGCGTCCCGCCCTGCTGCCTGGGGGAAAGCCTAAGCGGCGTGCCCGCTGGCCGGCCTCTGGCCTTGCCCGTAGTATCTGCCTGTTCGAAAGCCGTAAAGCAAAAATATGACCAAATCCGGCTGTGCTCGTTTGGGATCGCAGCAGCAGGAGGGAGGAACCTGTATGAGAAATGTCTGTCGCTGGGTTGCCGACCTATTGCTCTGAGGCTGTGAATATTATGCAACTTCTAGCGTGAAACCCATCACTTCTTCTCTCCTGAGCGACTGCCTTCCTGAGGCTGTCCAACGGCCTCACCGC